AAGAACACTCATAATACTTAAAATTATAAACACAATCTTCTCAGTCCATGGAATATGATCAGGGCTGGAAATTAATTAGTATGCACTGTGTACAACCACTAAAATTACAGTTAAAGAAGACCACACATAATGATGAGAAGCAGAAAATACAAAACACAGATACAATAAAAGATTGGTGTTGTATAACACATTTGTGAGGTCCTCCCTGGAAAATACTGCTTCTCTGCTCTCAGAAGTTGCCTGTAGTTCCTACTGTAGGGTTAATGCTCCATGTGTAACCTGAAAATAAAACTTTGTATCATGATTAATGAAAACCCAGAGACTGATAGTGAGGTCGAAGCTCAAGCTGAGGGTCAGAAAAACAAAGCAGCCATCCCCTAGCTTTTACCTCTACCTCACACTGTAGGGTAATCTGGTTAGCTCCACAAATCCTGACTGCAAACCTAGACTGTTGCCTCTCTTCAATGTGGCTGCAGACTAAATCTCTCATGGGATTCTTTGGTTCTTATTTTATACCTCTCTAGAGCTGTGATTAAAAGTGTAGGATCCCAAGTGCTGAGATCTCCTTTGTGTGAGCTGTTTCTCTTTAGGTCTAGATCAATTTCATGTAGCTCAGTGTGACCTTGAACTAAAAGATCCATCCACATCTGGCTCTTGAGTCCTGAGATTAAAGGTGTGTCATGCCACTGCCTGGATCTATGGCTTGCTAGTATTGCTGCTGAAATTAAAGTTGTGTGTCACCACTGCCTGTCTCTATTTGTTGTTAGGTTTGCTTTCCAAATCCTCAGAGAAGCTTTAATAAGGCATAACTAATATATCACCACACCAATGGTCTTTCCCCCATTCATGATTGCATGTCTACTGATTTTATTCTTGTTCAGTTCTTGTTTAGGCAGCAATATTGATGAGACTCCATGGCCATAGTGTCTTTAAATTTTCTAGGAGTTTCAAGCTCACAGAAAACTTCCTAGTTTTTTGGCTCTTACAATATGTCTGACCCCTCTTCTGTTAAAATCTGAGTTTAAGACTCTGAGGCATAGATAGAGGTATTATATTGTAATTAGTAACCAATAGTCCTACCAAGCTCTGATGCCTATGAACCACAATAACAACTGGCATGGTGCAATATTCATCTGGGTGCAATAGTGGCACACATACCTGTTGGTAACCAATGGCTTTTTAACAAGACTTAGGACCTATTCAACAAAAGGGAAACCATGTCTGGTTTTGGAAACCTATAAAACTACCTGGCAGTAATGAGGGCATGTATCTTGTAGAAGATGTTACAAGTGCCACTTTACTGAAACTATATAATTTCCAGTTGCATTCTAAATATATATTCTTAAACCCACAAATAAGTATAGGCCTCACTTATCATCGAAGAAACATCTTGTAAGAGATAGAAATAGTTACAGAAAATCACAACTGATCAGAATTAAAGAAAAAAATGACAGTGAGCCAGAGGATGACATTGTGGAGAGCCACAGCCCTAAGATGGCGCCTGGCTGGATGCCAGGTAGTCCAAGCTTAGCTGTAAACAAGCCGTATTTGGAAGTGCTTGAGGCATCGGGCATGCTTCCTCCTTCTGTGGCCTATCTGGGATTGCAGGATGGCATGAACTGATTGGGCACTGAGCATCTACTTAAGGGCTTTCGGGGGCTGGGAGAAGAGAGAAGTTGATGATGTACAAGGTTCCTGAATAAACTGCTTGAAGAAGAGTCGTGGTCATGTTTCTCTTGCTGGTCCAGAGAGACGCAACAAGTGGTGGCCCTTACAGGGAACCTCCGTGGGTGAACAGCTCAGAACTTCCTGCAGTCAGGGCAGTCAAATGGTAAGTCCCAGGTAAGTTGGGACCAAGCTAAGGACCTCGGTAAAGAGGCAATAAGGTCTCAGGTGAGGAGCAACAAAGTTCCAGGATTCGGACAAAGCAGAGGTAACCAAAAGTGAAAGTATGGGAACTACAACATTGCAACCAATTTTGATTGCTCTTCAAGAGCTGTTACAGTCTAAGGGATTGAAATTAAAGAAAAGTACTTTAGAGAGATTTATCCAAGAGGTTGATGTGGTAGCCCCCTGGTTTGCTGATTCCGGTAATTTAACCACCAGCTGCTGGGATAAGTTTGGGAAAGACCTAGACAGTCCCCTAAGTCAGAAAAGGACAGTAGTGAGGAAAGTTCAGAGGGGAGTAGCTCAGACACAGAAGAGGAACTAGAAATGCTAGCAGAAAAAATGGAGAGGGCATCTTTGCAGAAGCATTCAGGGTT